GCTCACAGTGTCAAATGCTTCCCTCTAATAAGCTGGGCAAATTACTTTTGTCCCTCACGCAGGCTGGAGTCCCATGCAAATTCACCCCAGCACTCCATCATTATCTCTGTGCTCTAATTAGGCTTCCCAGCACAGAGAGCTGGGTGGAGCCCGCACGGGGCCATTTGTTATTCCTTAATGATGCTCTCCCTTCGTGGTAACAGCTACGAGGGGTGGTTGTGTGTACAGACACAAAGGGCATCTCATTTCTTTTTGAAATGCAACCCTTGATCTTTCCTTTTCCAAAAAAAAAAAATCCCAAATCAACAACAAAAGTCTGGGATTGGCATCGCATAGGAGCCTCTTAAGGCTGAACGACCGTGCTCGAGAGGGCTCCAAGATCAGCACTGCAACAGCACAGCTGATAAGCACACATGCTGTAGTTCCCAATAGCACCGCGCATCCTTCGCTCAAGGGTTTCCTGCCATACAGCTCCTGTCGTAATTAAGAAGACCACGGTCATTTGCCTAATGGTTTTCAAAGTGCTGCCTGATGCTCCCCACATCTGTTGGCGTCTTGGGTCGTGGTCCAGAATTGGTGGCATTGAGTTTTTTCCCAGTTCTTGATGAATTTAGTGTATTCGTGTCAGCTACTGATGTTTCCCCCGTGCTTTCCCCCTCCAAGCTCTGAAAGGAACCCAATGAAATGAAATCCAAAGTTGTAGTGCCATCGTCATACCCAGCAAAGAATCCCTTCCTTGTGCCCATGGCTGCAGTGGGCCGGCGACCTCGTCCTCAAGGAGGAATTTCCATCATAAATGGGAGAGAAGAGATGGAGCTGTGGCCGTGCCCCAACCCCAGCCCAGGGGCACAAAGGGAGAACAGCAGTGCACCAGCGAAAATGGCGCACATCATGCATATGCAAAGTCTGTCAGTAATTAACGTCACCGGTGATATGTCTGGGAAAGTTGCACCTCAGCCTCGCCTGATGTTCTGCTAATTAAAGGCTTATTTTGTTACGGGAAGCCCTTTGTGTGAGATGCTTCACACAATCCAGCCCGAATTTTATGACCTGTGGGCTCCGCAAAGTGAGTAAACTGATGATCCTGGATTGTGCAACGCTCATTAAATGTGAATGCTGTGTGCGTTTCCACCCCTGCGTTGGGAAGGCCACTAATCATCCCTCTAATCATCACCCAAAGCGTCTGCTCACCCCAAACCCTTTCCTGAAATGAGAGCACGGCGCAGTCCTGCTGGGTTTCTAATTTTAAATAGGCAAATTTCTGCAAACTTTATTCGCTTGTTTGATGTTGTGCAGTGGTTCCACTGATGAGAGGACAGCTTTGGTGCTCCAATTAAGGGCTGGTGCGCGGGACCCAACCGAGGGCAAAGCACCCCGTTATTTCCTAGCACCAAGAAGCGATGCTGATCGCACTGGGGGCACCGAGAGCATTTCTGGGCTCCTCCATCCTCCTTCCATGGAGGATGCCGTGGTGTGGGTGGAAGAGGGGATGCAGTGTGGCTGTCGCCCATCCCCAGCAGCCGGCGCTTTGTTCCGAGCGCGACTCGTGCGTGTGGGATTTTATTAAACCCAGCCAAACAATTATAATTTATTCCTGCCAGCTAAAACCATCACTTCTCTCCACTCCTGTTTTACTAAATTGCTACCTTTATTTTTGCAATGTGTCTGTAATTACCAAATGTTCCTACATTCTACCCCAAATTTCTCTCCTTGGAATAAGTGGAGATGTCTACTCGGCGCTGTCAATTTTTTTTTAAATGTTATGATTGATAAAATTAAACTGTGAATCAAGGCATGAAATCTGTCTCGTAGATACAATTTTTTTTTTCTTTTTTTTTTCTGCCAATAGGAGGAAACAACACCAGTCATAGAGAATCTCACAAAATGATTCACTGGAGAACGGGGGGAACGTGTGTCTTTTTGCTTGAAGAACTTAATAAGACATCCACAGCAACTCCAAGCCGTATTGTTATATTCAATTACTTATGAGGCCCCAAGTTTCTCCACTTTAATTGCTCGAAGCAGGGAAGCTTTAGTCACAGTGTAATGTACCCAGGCATGTATGGGGTTTAATGAATCATACTAACTCTGCACTCTAAGCAATTAGGTAAATCTAGCTGTTAGTTAGTGAGGCATAAAATAAATTTAATCTCTCTTCTAAAAAATCAATTACAGTGCTGTAATGTATAATTCAATTTGGGTCATGCTACATAAATTTTCTGGTTTTAGTGTGTTTTTAAACTGGTTGTTATTCCATTTCGCAGGCTGCATTTGTGTGGGTGCGTCGAGGGCAGCGTGCCCTCAGTGCAACGTGGAGGGATTCCCCATTGGCGTGGTCTATGTGGGGCTGCACCATGGCCCGAGCTGAGGAGGGGGCATTAGTGGTGGGTTGGCTACGCTTCAGACGCATGGGAGCCCTTGGTGGATGCTGGGCACTGGGAACAGCACTTCTACAGCGTCCTGTATCCTCCCTAAAGAAAGGCATGGACGTGGATGAGCGGTCACGGTGGTGATGGGTTGGTGGTTGGACTTGGTGATCTTAGAGGTCTTACTGGTTCTTGGGTTCTGCGTATAGGGAACGGCCTTAAGTGGTGCTGGGGGAGTTCAGGTTGGATATTAGGAGAAAGTTATTCTCTAAAAGAGCTGAAATGCACCAGGACAGGCTGCCCAGGGAGTGGTGGGGTCACTGTCCCTGGGGGCGTCGAAGGAACATAGAGATGGGGCGCTCAGGGATGTGGTCAGTGAGCACAGTGGGTGGGTTGGGGATCCCAGAGGTTTTCTCTAACCAGAATGATTCTATGATTCTAAGGAGGTGCAGTGTACAGACATCTGTGGTGCCAGCACAATATGAAGGGAGATGCAGCAGCAGCCCGTGGGGCATGGGAGGCACCCTGGGAGCAGCAGGAGCAGCTCAGCAGCCTTGGCAAGCACTGAGCAAATGAATCATGGGCTGTGGTTGCAACCTGGGCCACACTCAGTGCAAAAAGCACCGTGTTGGTGTGGGAGCAGCAGGGCTCCCAACAGCACCGGGCTGGGAGTGCCCTCCAGCAGCAGGACAGCGGCCTGAGCTGGTTCTCCATCAAGACCGAATGCTGGGAACTTTCCAGAGAAAGCAAGGTGCAATGTCTAGAGAACTCATGTTTCTCACAAGCACATGAAATCTCAGTGTCTCACCAGGAAGAGCCACCCAAAGCCACAGGGCAGCACAGTGGGGCTCGGGCACATGTGGCTGATCTGCTGCTAAGGGAGGAAAGCGGAGTGGTGAGCTCAGCATGCAGAGTTAAAGAGGGGTCAGAGCGCATTAACAACTCTGGCATAAAGATTAGCTGGCAATGCAAACAGGCCTGATTCACCACTAAATGGAGAAATTGGAAGCATAAATTCCGCAGCATGTTGCTCAACATAATTGAAATCTATTTTGCAACTGGCGTGCCGATAACGCAGCGCATGGAGGCAGCGTTTCAGACATTCTCAAGGATGCTTTGCTTTGCCCAGCAAGCATTCAGCAGACCTGAGCAATAATGGCATAAGAATCATCCCCATTGATATATTCCTGAAGACAGCTTTCCCATTTGCCAGGCACTTGGGTATGATAAGCAAGCAGCCCAGTTGCAGCTGAAGACACACATGGTGCAGAGAGCGAGGACAGGCAGCAGTGAGCGTGTAGTGAGGCCTGGGAACATCAGTACATACTCACAGTCATTCATACCAAGTGTATTTCCCACACCCTGACTGCTCTCATGCCTCGTGCTCATTTTTGTGCAATACCTTTATTGATGGGCCCAATTCTAGAAACTTCTGTTTATGAACTGCAGTCGCTCCAGGGATGCACAGAGAGCAGCTCAGCTCCAAACACCCCAAACAGGAGGTCAGAGTAACCAGTGCAGCACATGAACCTCAGCAATTGCCTTGATCCAGGAGGGGAGTGTAATTTAACATCCATCAGCTAAGTATAGAAGTTATTATAACCTTCCAACCAAAAAAGGAAAAGAATTAGAAAAATAATACCGAAAAACTCTGCTGATGAAGTCAGCTCTCACTGTTGCCAGCCCATTCCCACTTGATGCCCATCATGTCTCCCATCATGGTGCTTTGCTCCTTGCTAAGCTCACGGAATAGGCCTAGGAGCATCCCTTCACCATCCCCAGCATGGGAACTGAAGGTGCCGAGTCCCACAGACTTCAGAAACACAGCAATTTGTAATTCAAGACTGAAAATTCTCAAGCTAAAATGCTTGGCCTTGAGCTGCAGCAGTGAGCAAGGACTCCTGGATGAGATCGATGGTTGCGTGCTTCAGAAGTTAGGCTTACGTGCTTTGATCCGTGTCACTGCCATCTAATAATAACCAGCATGGAACAGCACTGCGGTGAGCACAGGGTCGAGCTGTAGGGCTGTGCCATGAGGAGCCACGATGCTGAGCGCACAGCTTGGCACACAGAGCAGCCAAGGGACGGCACCGCATTGACAACGCGGCCGTGGTGGCGATGCTGTGACAAATACCCACAGATGGCAGCAGCCTCTGCTGGAATTGCCACCCATCAGTCTCAGAAGAACACCATTACCTTCACTGCCGCTATCAAGCAGGGGAGCTTTTAATCAGGGCAATAAAGAGACGATAAATTAGGAGGGAATTAAGGCAAAATAATTGTTAAGCTCTCCAAGTTCCTCGGCTCGGGCAGACCTTTCCCATCCTTTGATGTCACCAAGTTTTAATAAGCCCTGGATCAGCTCCAGGACCACGGGGTCTATGTGAGAGGAGACCTTGTGTATAAATACATAATTGGCATGTGCAGGAGTGCCTGCACGGACACACACACACGCATTGTGCTGCAACATTAATAGCACGCCCAGAATCGATATGCTGCTAAGTAGCATTTCTTGTCCTGGGATCCTATTTTCACACTCACAGCAAATATGACCCTTGTCTGGGGCTGCCAGCTGCTTATAATTCTGACAGATGCAAGCACATTTCTGGGAAGCTGCATCCATTCAGTGGCTAAAGATCAACAGGCTCTGCTCAGGCTTTAGGAAGATTGATTGGCTCAGGAGAATCCCATTTGCAGCCCGAACTGAGAATAGGTTTACCACGGAGAGGCGTTAATGACTTTGATATCAGCGATCTAAATATGTCAACCTGCGACTCGTGTTGGTATTAAGGCACACTATATTTATACAAAACAGCCATTAGCAGAATGCTAATTAATGCGATTCGGTTTCCAAGTAAAGCTCTGCTCTTCCAAGGGGTGTAACGTTAGACTTCAGTTTAATCCCCCGGAGCTGCGGCTGCGCCCGGGCATTCCTTGGGATCAGCCAGATGGAGCTGTGCCACGTTCCATGGAGCACCCCGCGTCAGGAGCGCCCGCTGCTGGGTGGGAAGAGGCTGTGGGGCACTTCCTATGGGAAAGCTCATTCTGAATCACAACACACCCACCTCACCCCCCAGCAAATAGGGCTGCGTGCCCAAAACGGGACTTCAATACCTGCTGCGGCTGCAGCGATGGCTTAGAGAAGGCGGCGGTGTTGATAGGATGAGAGGTGATGGCCCCACGTTGCACCAGGAGAGGATCAGGTCGGACGTTTGGAAACATTTCTTTTCTGAAGAGCTGTAATGCACCGGCACAGGTTGCCCATGGAACAGTGGAGGCCTCCATCCCTGGGGATACTCGTGGGACACAGAGATGTGGCACTGAGGGACATGGTCAGTGGGCATGGCAGGGTGGGGATCTCAGAGGCCATTTCTAACCTTAACGATTCTCTGATCACGTACCTTGCAGAGGGGTAATTAACACTGAAGGCTCTCCTGCTCATGCACCAGATGGGTCCTCGGGTGGATGGTACCAGAAAGAGGTGAGGTACAGATTGCCATCTCCATGCTGCCTTTGCTCCTGCGCTCTGCCCATTACAGCACAGGGCTGAAAGCCAGCTCCATCAGCCCCAACAAGCCCTGCAGCTCCCACTCCATGCTTCCAGCCCCCTAGGAGAGCAGCAGGTCTCCTACCTGGGCTTCACCAGACCAAAGCTCCCAACAGTAATAGCATCAGCTCCATATAAAGCATGATTACAATGAGCTGCAATTAAGGAGATTTATCACAGCTGGCTGGGCTCCAGGAGCACCTGGACTGGCCTTGGGTATCAGGAGCCCCGAGAAAGGGTTCTGCAGCCATAAGGGGACATCTGTGACAGAAGCAGCAGCAGCAGCAGCAGCATCAGCATCCCTCCTGCCAACAGGGGAGCACCTGGGGGCAGAGCCAGCAGTGTGAGGTGAGCACTCAGAGCCACGCAGTGCCCAACTGAGAAGCATCTGTACATCCTTCCCATCATCAGGTCGTTCTGTGCCTTGTTACGAAGCCAACGAGACCTAGGGGAGAAGGAGAAATAAAATGCCAAACGCACAGTGCTGCTGAACGCATTACATACTGAGGCTTCAGAAAACTGATGCCAGGAAGAAGATTAATGGAGCAGAGCTGCAAAAATAGGAAAGAAAATGAAAACCGGCTGAGAACAGGGCTGGTAAAATGCTGTGCTGCTGCCAAAGGGCCTGCTCCCTGATAGCAGGGTCACAGCCACAGGCTGGGTGCTGCTGTTAATGGAGGGTGCTCGACCCTCACGTCTTGCTGATGTTCTGGGCAGCCTGCAGCATCAATCTCATTAACAGCATTAAATTAGGACAAATGAAAGATGTTTTTCCCCTTACTGGAGTCCAAAAAAAAAAAAAAAAAAAGAATGCAAGAGACAAAGTGGCTTCGAAGGGGATGGGGGATCTCTCCAGGAGCAGAACAAAAGCTGTCTGTGTACAAACTGCTCCCACCACCTCCTGCAGCTGATGAGGGGTCAGCTGTGAAAACTGCTGCCAGGGGTGGCTTTGTGGGTTTGCTTTAGGAGCCTTCTGAGCACTGCTCCCTTTTGCTGAGCGTGGTGTCGATGGATGCTGAGGACTTTTTGCAAAGGAATGCTGGTGGGTGCAGCGGGACTGCAAGAAGCGTGCATGGGTGTGCAAGGCGGAGCGGTGCAGCAGTCGTCGTGCTGAGCTCTCTGTTAGCAAACAGGAATCTGGGACCTGCTGTCGGCGCTCGCTGCACCCCTCTGCATGCAGCCAGCCCGGCTCGTCAATGTGCTAAAGTCATTACGGAGGGGATTGTGGGAAATATTGGTTTTTCATTACAGCTGACTTCACTCGATCTGCTGGTGATGGAGAACGAGCTCCCTGCATCACTGCAGTGTCTGGCTGTAGGATGGGTGCGTGGCAGCCCTGGTTCATCCCTTCCAGCGTGGGATATTCGTTGGTTCTGTGATCCTCCATCAGCAGCCACCTGCACTGTGCTGCTGCTCTCTGCTGCAGGGGCTCAGGGCTGCGCCGCTGCTTCTGATCTGCAGGTTTTGCAAAACTGCTTTGTCCTGGTGCTGCTTTCAGGCCATGCACCCTTCTCACCACAGCCAGCAGGCTTTTGTAACCACACCAATGCAGTGGTGGTGCAAATCGTTGCATGAGTGCAGGTGGCTACTCTGCTCCTAGCTCACAAACCCTGCTTGCATTGCTTCTGGTAATGATCAGCAAAATAAAAACCTGATTTTTCTCCTGAGCCAAGGAGCCCAGAAAATGCTGAGGCACTTCAGCAACAAGAAGCGTTGGGGCAGCTCCAGCATTCCTCCTTGAAGCCAGAAATACAAATTGTAGTGAAGCAGCAGGACTGTGAGTCCGGGCACTGCAGTCCATCACCAGGCAGGGGTCTGGGGTTGAAGCAGAGCACCCCAAGTTCTGCAGGGTGCACTGTGAGCTGACAGCTCAGTGCAAGCTGTCTGAAGTGGTGTCTCCTTAAAGCACACATTTAAGGACAGACCTCCTGCTGCTGGGGATGGGGCCAAGCCCCTGGCTGCCACCCAGCTCCCTCTGGCCAGCGCCTGTTCTGGCTCCTTATGCCGCATTTTCACCCAGGGCAGTGCCAAACCACTCCTCCATGATGGGGACAACACAGCCTGGGAGAGCCTCTGTCCCAGCTTTGGGGGGGTCAGCAGGGCTGGGTTGGGCATGGGAGTGATGCCAGCATGGGTCAGTGCCACTTGTCATCGCCTCACTGCCAGCAAGCTTTGTGCTGGGGTGGTCAGGACCCGAGCTGTGACGTTAGAGCCCAACTCCCTCCTATCTGGACATGAACCAGAGCTAAGCCCTACATGAGGAGCAGAGCTGCAGCTGCTCCGGGTAAGTGTAATCCCAGGAGTAATTAATATGGTGGGACGATCAATGAGAACCTGCAGGGAGGGGTGTGGGGATGGGTGCATCCTGCTGCAGCTCCACTGTTGTGGTTGGGCAAAACACATTGGCTGCAGAGCAGCACCATGCCCAGCCCAATGCCCTTCTATTCTCCTCTCCTCATGGGGTTTTTTCCAAAGTTTCCCCTTTTCTGCAGCTTAGGATGGATCCAGGTTCCCACGTGAACCCCAGTCTCGGCCCCCATTGCATCCCTATGGGAGCAACAGCATCCATCCCACGCAGCCAGCATGTCCCAGCACTGTGCCAGCCCCACAGTGGGGTGCACAGAGCCCTCAGCAGAACATCGCTGCCCTGCAGCACAGCACTGCATCCTCAGCCGCTATCGACAGCGATTTCACAGCGCTTGCTTTCCTAATTGTCTCCCTGATCTGTTTTCTAATCTGAGATGTCTTAACACAAACAATTACAGCCGAGTAACTGATTAATCATTCAAATGAAATTAAAATTGAGTAAGTGTTTTAATATATTTAGATAATGCACATGTGCAACAGAAAAAAAAACAAAACCAAAACAACAGAGCGATGCTTATCTGCAATTGTCACTTAGAATGGATGAGTTCCAATTATTTGTGTGGGAGAAAACAGAGGTATAAAGATCAGAATCCAAATTATTGTGTAAACTGTTGACATATTCTGAGCACTGTTATTTAAATGCCACTAAACAGATATTTAAATGAGGATGAATAATTGCATCAATAATTCATTGGCAGCTTTGAAGGAAGCTTTTGCTGATGTTGGATGGTGGGAAGGGGCAGCGTGGCTCCAGAGCTTTTTGCATTGAGGCAGAGGGAGCTTCTACAAAACCCTTGCTTTTTGCAGGCCCAGAGGCTTGCATGGAATCCCAACCTGCCCCAAAACATCTGCATGAATCCAAACTCCTATATCCAGATGTACACCAGCTCATTGCCTGCTGCCATGCTGGGACTGACCCAGCAGAAAACCCCAGGGGTGATGCATCCCTTACCTGCAAATTGGTTTCTAATCCGGGTGCCTTTCAAAACGCAGCCATTGAAAAGAAAAGCAAGGCCACTCGTGCTTATGGCACGTTATCCAATGGGGCGAGGGAACGAGGTTTGCTAAGCACTGGTTCTTTAAATAACACACCCTCTCGCAGCGGCATGTGGCAAGGAGTAACCCAACACAGCCTCCCGCAACGAGATACAGCATCAGACATTTAAAAGGAATAGCTTTGATGCTGACTGTCAGCGAAAAATGCAGACAGCAAGTGCATGCCTTCAGCTGCTGCCATGCGAGGAACAGCAAGAGCCCCGTCCCAACGTCCTGCTGAGCACGGAGGGCCTCCCAATGGGTGAAAAGGAGGTGAGACACATAGCAGAGCAGTGGGGATCTCCCCGGCTTGGAGACAGAGAAAAGCAGGAGGATGCAGCAGGCATTGCTCAGCAGCTCCGTCATGGCAGCACTGTGTGCTCTTTGCTGTCTGGGAGCCGGGGAGGAGCTGCTCGTTATTAAGCAATAGTTGGGAAACCGTCATCTACTGTTTCAATTCTGTTAGGCAACACTTCCTGAGGTATAAAGAGCCACAGTGCTGTGCAGTGCTTCTTGGCTGCTGCCCTGAATATCTCTGAGCATTCTGGGCTCTGTGTGCACCTCTGCGTGTGGGGATGGGCCAGCAGTGACTGTGAGCTGTCAGCATCAGGTAACAGATAAGAGCCAGGTTCAAATGTAGACACACAGTCCCGACCTCCCCTCCCAGCTGAGCACCACAGCACCCACCCACAGCAGCCCACACCTCCTGGCCTGGCACAGCAGCTCTTCACAGCTCTGGAACCACCTTGGGTGCACCTGTATATCAGTAGGGGACACCGAGTGGGGTGAACACCAACCTGAGTGCGATGCAGGTGACCCAGTGCAGCAAGCCTTTGGGTTTGGAGGGCTGCATCCATGCTAGTGCCTGGTGCTGTGCTGGATGTGCACTGCTCAGCGCAGCTGAGCTCAGAATATGATTGTCAGCCTCTGTAATTTTCCAGTGACAGCTCGAAAAGAAACAGCTGAGCCACGGAGCTCCAGCTCCACATGCCATCTATTTCTACTGTCAGCTCCGGAGAGATCTTAATTATAATGGCTTTTGGTGCTCATTCCTTTCTAATGCTGTAACAGAGAGATGATTGCAGCCGTAAACGAGCGATCAGGCTATTCCCTGCTGGGCAGTAACGCTGGTTGTCAGGCTGGGGAGGGATGGCGCGCACCAAACTGCTCCCCAGCTTCAGTTCACTTTGCACACTCGCTATAAAAATGAATTTGACTCACTCGTGGCTGCGAGTTACAGGGAGCGAAGAGGTAATGGCACCAGGAAGAGGGAAGGAGCAGGAGGTTTATTTGGCTGCACCGTCTGGAAGCAGCAAGGAGCAGTTGTGCATTGGCTCTATGTAGGGCTGGTGAGACTGGCTCCGAGTCCTGGCCCAGCAACAGAATGGGCTGCAGCCCCAGCAGAGCTTCCCCCCTCAGGGATTGGTGTGCAGGAGAGGACGTGCACCATCACAGAGGCATCAGAGGCTGCAGCCCAGACTTCCCTAATGCCTGCAGATAGGAAAGTCTCCAGACGTTTGCATCTTATCTTAAAAGGAGTTTCATGTGCAATAGTGGATGTGGTTGCCCTGGGAAGCGCTGCACCTCCACACTGAGGACCCACTCAGCTCACATGGTTTATTTAGCTCTGTGCATCCTCCCCATGCACAGGACCCACTCCCAAAGGAGCACAGTACGGATGAGGACGTG